GAGGACAAAAAATGGAATTACATATGGAAATGGAAGGGCCCTGAGCGTATTAAACTCTTCCTATGGTCGCTACTCAGAAGATCGTTGATGAACAACGCAGAAAGATTTCGGCGACATATCAGTGAGGAGGATGGATGCCCCTTCTGTGGATCGTTGGAAAATCTCTTCCATCTATTCAGAGACTGCTACAGAACTAAGCAGATCTGGGATTCAATCAACCCACATACCATGCAAACCTTTTGGATGGTAAGCAACTGGGATCAATGGATATAAACTAACCTCTCTTCCTCTATGTTGCAGAACGGAATCGAGTGGAAGACCTGTTCGCAACAGCGTGCTGGAAGCTTTGGTCGACAAGGAACAACGACATCTTTGAAGACTCATACACACCCGCCAGAAATCTGACACAGTGCATCATCTTCGCCATCAAAGAAATTGACAGATCCGCCAAAATCCTCCTTCCGAACGCTGCGAACAAAAGCCGCCACACAACTCTCCTAACTAATCCCCCGCACTAGAAACCACCACTTTGGGGTTGGATCCGATTGAACACAGACGGCTCCGTCAACCCCCAAATCAATCAAGCAGCTGGTGGTGGAGTTTTGCGAAATAGCGACAGCGATTGGATCTTAGGCTTCACGGCTAACATCGGCGATACCTCAGTACAGGAAGCTGAATTTTGGGCCGCACTTTTGGGTTTACAAACGGCTGAACAGCTGGGCTTCACTAAAGTCCAATTGGAAATGGATAATTCTAAGATAGTATCAAGCCTAACAGAAAACACGGGCCTGGACCTAATTAGTAATGTCCAAAGCCACATCCGTAAACTACTTGACAAAAACTGGTCAGTACAAGTCTCGTTTATAAAACGAGATGGGAATGAAATAGCTGACCACCTCGCCAAAATGGGCCTATCAAGCCCCCCCCCCCTTGCCCAGGGTTGCATATTTTGACCATGCCCCCGCTCAAAATAGTAGATAGGCTAGCTTTTGAGAAACCAGCAAACTCTCGTGGTGTCTAATTGTATCTAAGCATTAAGCTTCCCCTGTATAAAAAATAAAATAAAATAAAATAAATTAATCTATGGCAATTTTAAATATATGCATAAAATGGAATTAGCCCGATTGTCAATTTTTATTCTAATATTTACTTCCAGAAATAGATGCCTAAAATTTATTGACCTATAAAATTAAATTAATCTACTATGGTAACTTTAAATAGATGCCTAAAATTATGTCATTGCTTTACAACTCTTGAAAGCAACTGCCACGTGGTTTTTGTGGAGTTTAGGCGGGAATATTTTTTTTGTGGAGCTGCCACATGATTTTTGTGGCAGCTGCTTTTAATAGGTATAAATAGATTGATATAGTAGTAAATTTATTATTATGAAGAATAAAAATGAAGAAATTGATTGCACACGTAAATTGAAAGAAAGTGGGGACGGACAGAAGAACCAAGAAGAAGAAAAAAAGAGAAAAAAAATCAAAATTAAATCATTGGAAGTTTAAATTACATAAATGACCTTTCACATATATGAGAGTATACTACCAAAGTTCATGTGTGAGTTAGAAAGGAGAAACTCCATTTTTATATAGATAGTTAATGATTAAAAATGATGAAAAATAAAACAATCAAATTAATCACCATTTATAAATGGCAGATAATTTTGCCAAAACAAAATTTAACATTCAGCAAAAGTATTCATTCTTTCCAAAATTTTTCTTATGAAGTCAAAGCCGCTCTTTCTTTCTTCCTTCTCTCTTTCAATTTTTCTTATAATTTTCTGACTCAACCTTTGGGAGGTCTTAATGCCCCACAGAGTTCGCTAAACAAAGGAAAATAGATAAGGAATCAGCAAAACTCCTTACCTATGGTATTGCTTGGGCCAAGAACAAACCACTGCTCCGCGTATTGATGATTCCTGCCCAAATTTGCAAGTTTATGAACATTCCAAATACTAAACTGCAGATTTAAAAAATTGACAATCCGCAATCAATGCAAGAGTAGCGTACTCCTTCATCTGAAGAGCAGTTAGTAGCCACGGATGTTATTTATTTATTTTGAGAAAACAATTCTGCAATTCATAAGTTTCTACGCTAATTAAAGGGCTTATTCGATAAAATTGAGGTTTTGCACATCAAAGTATTTCGACCTCATTAAACAAACCCATTGGAATCAATCAAATTGAAGCAAAGGGTTTAATCAAGATTATGTTGTTAGGATATTACAATAACAATCTAGTCCATCCCTCCTCCAAATTTCATGAATAAAAACATACCATTTGAGTATTTCTAAAACCTACCGCAAAAAAAAAGAAAGAAAAAGAAAAAAATTCCCGGCAAGATAGAAGAGAATATCAGTGCTGTGATGCTATCTTCATAAAAACTAAAGAGAATTTCATTGTAGTAGTTGCAGAGAGTAGAAAATTAGAAAAAGAGATAGGATCAAAGAAAGAAGGATGTTATCCTAGAAAATCACTAGCCTTTAAAAATGACAAATTGATCAGGGGCATGTTATCTTAATTCATTTCAACTAGTTATATTGACTATTTAATATGCAAATAAATAACTCAATAGGGCACGTTTCCACGTTCTTAACCAAGTTTGTTCACCCACCCACTCTTCTAGACAGGTAAGTTCAGTAATTCACAACAGGAAAAAGGCGAAAAAAAAAAAAAAACAAAGAAAGACGAAGAAAGCTAGTGAACTTGAGTGCCTGTTTGCATCTGCAATAACTAACCAAGTTTTTTTTTTCTTGCTAAAGAATTTGCAGATCAACTGTGTGACTGTGTGCAAATGTTTCCTAAGAATAAAAACTGTAAAAAGGTGTCAGTGCGTGCATTTTAAGACTGTTTTCTCTTGTATTCCCATGTGTGAAAAGTGAATCCAAAATAAATAAATAAAACTCGAATCATGAGCATCATCTATTTCAGTTTTCGTCCTCCTACCTTGATGAGATTACTATTTTACTTCTGGAGGAAAAGAAATGTAAAATACGAAATGCAAGATCTGGAGACGTACTAAAGACCAAATCATAACTTTATCTGTCAAAACGAAGAGTCGAAACCAACGTATATAGTATGTGAGAGTTATCTTTTCTTTTTCGTTTTTGTAAACTATAGTAAAAATTAGCTAAAAAAAATGTACAAAATTATTGGTACTCCCTCTCATAAAAATAATCTAAATTTGATTTAAGAATTATACTAAAAACAATACAATTTACAATTTAGACCGTGGATTATTTTTATGGAACGGAGTGAGTAATAAATATTTTGGTACACATAATTATTTATCCTTCTTTGGTTGAATTCCAAAAAAATATTTTATCTTTGGTAATGTATTGGCTGAATAAAGTATGAAATTGATGGTGGATCTATATAATTCATTGGCGTGATGTGATTCATTGTGACAAACTAGGAACAACTGGCTTGGGAGAACAACCACTATAAGAGACAATAATCACATTATCAAATCATTGTCAACAATTATTTATTTCCTGTTGTGGAGCCTTAATCCAAAATTAGTAATGACATCTAAGACGACCACAATCTCATTGTCTAGACCGGAAATAACATTTTTGGACCCGAGAGACACACATGCATATGCAAAAATGATCAATGAAAATGAAAGGAAGAAGAATGGGGAAGGCAAGAACCCTTTTGGAATAAATCAATTGTAACCAAAATTAGGTGTCACTCATAGAAATCAGGATAGAGAGCAAAAGCGGTGCGATCATCAGATATTTACATCTTAATTGACTAACAAAAAATTTCCTATATAATATAATAATAAAATTCTTGTTTTGAGACGGAACGAATATTTGAATGTCTAATTAATTTAGTGTCTTGCTTAATCATGTCAACATAAATATATCTTTTTACAGGAAAATTAGTGGGGGAAAAAAGTAATGGAATCACCCATTGTTTTGAACTCTCATAGCCACAAAATCAAAGAATTTCCCATAATATGCTTTCTGGAAATTATTCCTTCGACGGTAAGGAGTTGGACAAATCTTAAACACTTTTTTGCAAGCAGGATTCCATAATCCAAAAGAATTCTCTCCATCACAAGGTTTCATTTTCCCAGGAAAAAGTAATATGCGATGCTCATCTCACAAACTTTTGAAAAAGGAATTTCACTATTGAAAGCACAAAAAAAGAAAAGAAAATCTTATTTATTTAATCGTAAAAGTTTGGGACTATAATAATACGTACCACTAATCCACTCCATATTTTAACCTCCTGATTAATCTAATCCTCTATTAGTTTAATGGGGATGAACAGATCTCGACATTTACCGCTGAAAAGCGCCACTAAGGAATTTGCTAGCGCTAGCTAATAAAAGTAACTGCCCCCCTCTGGCATTTTTTACTAAAGGAGTTGGCCACCAAATACTGGAATAAAATCAACATTCTGGGTGTAAAGTTTCTTTCTTCACGTTACACAATAGAAGATTAAACCACACAGTAAATTCCATCGCTGAGAAAGTGATAATTTGAAGTGTACTAAAAATATGGATAATCAGAAATTAGGGCATGATGGACTTATAACTGCTCCAAGAAAACACTTTCCAAAGAGTAGTGGTACAGTTTCAAAGGGCTTTTGACCCCCTTTGACTAGACTTGGCAACATCAACATTTTCAGGCATTATTAACCTTACATAAGATTTCCTAACCATTTTTTCAAACCCACTTCCTCTCGTTCCCCTCCTAATCCAACTGTCTCTACATCATGGTTTACTTTTTTCTTTTTTTTTTTACTTATAACCATGATTATAATTCCACCCCTTTTCTAATCTGTTTTCTTTAGTTTAGGCAAGCTAACCAGAATAAACCATTTTCTGATAGTGATATGCCTTCATTCATATCTACTTCTGCTATGAATTGGTGATCATTTCTCAACTTCTTGTCCTGCTTTTCTGTCTAACCAGCACCAAACCAGAATTGGGTTGGTTTCTTTTTTTTTTTTTCTTTTTTTTTTAATCTAGGAATATTAATTAAACATGCTTGATATTCTATTCGGCTGGAGAAAAGCATCAAAATGGTATGTTAATTGAGGCATTTTCAGTTAATGATATTTTACTGTACTAATGATGATCATTGGTAAGTTTTAAGTTCTGGTGTTCTGTTTTTACAGTAAAAGGCGGATTAGAAGACTTCAGCGCCGTCTAAAGCTTTTGAAGAACAAGAGAAGTACCATAGTGAGGCAGTTGAGAGATGATGTGGCTCAACTTCTTAAACATGGCCATGGCCAGACTGCCTTTGACAGGGTATGAGTTTTTTGCGTATCAAATATAAGAACTGAAATTTGCTTTCTTGCTTCTATTCTTTCCAGATTATCTTTCATTATACTGTTTTTCTTCTCTAGAATAGTTCTGTTGAATTGGGATATTTTGTTTTGAATATGAGGAATTAAAGTTCTGTTGTTAGTGAAGTGAGCTTTCTGCTGATAGCTGTAGATATTGATGATCATAGAAGAGTGAGCTTATTCTGTTCAGTATATAGGTTGATAGAGTTACTTTATACTGATTAAATCTAAGAGAGAATAATTGTACGTAATCATGAAGTATTCTTAGATGATTAACTTATCACTCAATTTTGAAAAGCAGAGCTGCCCTTTGAAAAATATGGTGAATGTTTCTGCTTTCTTACCTCCTTTTCTCCTGCAACTTTTTTTTTTTTTCGGTTAACCCCTGCAAATTTTTCAGGTTGAGCACCTCTTTAAGGATGAATGCTTGTTGGCTGTGTATGATCTTCTGGAAAAATTCTGTGAATTTATCATCAGCAATCTTCATTACATTCGCCGAAACAAGTATGTATCTTTGTGGCCTTATTAACCCTTCAAGTTTCAGTTTTTGGCTTGAATTATTTGAACCTTCTGATCAATGCCAACCTGTAGCTTTATGATGCTTTTTGTTTCTGTAATTACAGGGACTGCCCTAATGACATCAATGAAGCAGTCTCAAGTCTTATATTTGCATCGGCGAGATTTGGTGACTTACCAGAACTTATATCTATTAGGAAACTATTTGCGGACCGTTATGGCCAGAGATTTGCCACAGTTGCACTTGAATTACTTCCAGGAAATCTTGTAAATCGTCAGGTTAGTCGCTATCATTCATACAAGATGGGGCATAAGTTCATTTTGCAACTAACATGTTATCTGAGGATGTAGATTGGAACCTAATTTACATTTTGTTCAAACAGATGAGAGAGAAGATGTGCATAAAATCAGTTACTAATGATGAAAAGAGCAAACTGTTGGAAGAAATACTTAAAAGTTCCCTTCAGTCAGGACCTTTGCTGTTGGAGTACAACAGTTCTGAATTGCAACAGAAATCGGTATATAATCTTCATTGTAGTTTCATCACCGAAGACATATTCTTCTGAAAAAAATTTGATTCCATTTCCATTCACCAGCAGGAAAATGAAAGCAGAATTGAGCCAGTTCCTAGCTCAGAAACTATAGATGTGATACCCAATGATGGTGACAATGAGGAGTTCTCTAACATACAAGACGAGAAGGCGCTTGTATGTCTCTCTTTACCGATCTCAAGTTCCACCTTTCCTTCCACAACTGCAGATAAAGGAAATCTGGACACAATGGTTTTATCTGCGCATCAGAAACACGAAAGACTAATAACTTCAGCGCAGGAAATCAGCTCGTGCGCTGTTGAAGTATCTGATGTTGAACAGCTAGAAAGGAGTCTAGTTGTATATGATCCTGATCTTAGACGCAAGGAGAAGATCAATTCCGTAGTAGATTCATCTTCAGAAGCTTCAGCACGGTTGCCTGAGGAAATCGTATACCTCGATGACATACAGGAATTCGAGTCTCCACTAAGCAAAGAAAGCAATCAGCAGGATCAAAGACTATTCAAGTTCAGATCATCTGCAGTTCTAATTAGCGGAAAAACCGATATATCAGTTAACAAAACAGCAACACGAGATCAGGGAAAAGAGGATCTTCAAGACCAGAAATCAGTTTCAAGAAGCATCAGAAAGAACAGGAGATTTCGGAGGAGGTCAATTTCAGGGGAGGCCACCAGCATCACTGATATAGAATGCGAAATCTATTATGGAGAATCATACGACAGTTCGCCAAATTATACCCCGGAACATCATGATCAAACCAGGCAAAAGCATTTCAGGAAGATTCCAAACAAGAAACAGGCCAGATCATACTATGTTGAAGAAATCCAAAATGATGATACAATCCAGGGCTGCAGTTTGGATCATCCTTGTTATTCATGCACTTACAATGAGAAACAGGAGTGGAATAACGCGCCTCAAAAGTCGACGCATCTTCAACTGATCGGCCACACCTCTCGCGAAGAAAAACCGCCATTCCTCGAGGAAGAATCAGGAATGATTCCGAATCAGAAAATGAAGAAGAGCGAAGATGCTAAGAGTCCAACTCTGCTGATTTCGACATGCTCAGGAGGATCGAGTAGTAGTTCTTCCACAAGCATAGAAGATAAACCTTCATACATAAGGGCAATGACATTGCCAGCTGAAAGGTCTAACAAAGATGCAACAGTACTTGAAGGCGTGATTCGATCGAATTCGTTCCCCTTTCGGGAACATGATCATCAATTGTCATCCCACAACAGGCATGTTCATCCAAACCTTCCTGATTATGATGAATTAGCAGCTACATTTATAGCTCTCAAGAAGGCCAATTTGCAACGTGGGAGAAGTGATACATTTTAGATGAATGGTTTTTACCTTACCAGTTTTTCTTTGATAGGATTGCATTAACCGCTGGATAATGTTATTTCATGCTTGATTTATTGGTCAGTGTGTTTCTTTTTCCAACTTCCAAGTCTTCCTGTAATAATTAGACTTTTTTTTTTTAATAACATTTTCAAAAAAAATTAGACTTTCTTTTTTTTTTTTTTTTTACATACAGGGGAAGCATAACGCTTGGATTACAAAATAGCTCCCGGGAAAGGAGACGGGCTATCAAAAGCTAAACTATCTAGTGCTATGGGAGGGGGAGTTGCCAAAATATGTACTCCCACCAGGGCCGAGTGGCCCATTTTAGCTAACGAATCTGCTACCTTATTCCCTTCCCGGTTTATATGAAGTATTTCAACCAACCAGGTTGGTTGAGCAAAAGAAAGATTCGTCGGAGGACGTTACTGGGCCGAATTGAGGGTCCATTATCATCTTGGATGGCTTTGACCGCTTCGATACTGTCCATTTCTATTTGGACTTTTCGAAAGCCCAGCTCCCAGGTGATTTTCAGCCCATGGAAGGCCCCCCAAAATTCTGCTTCAAGGATGGGGCAATCCCCTATGTTCGCCGTGAAACCAAAGAGTCACTCTCCTTTGTGGTTGCGAAACACTCCGCCGGCCGTAGATCTCTTGGCCTGTGGTGTTGTTGACCCATCAGTGTTTAAACGAATCCACTCCCATGGAGGTGGTTTCCATCTGCAGTCGTTTGGGTGACGACGTGGCAAAGGGGGGTTTTTTGGTGTGGTGAGGTTTATCGATCGATTGATTTCTGCAACCAGTGCCTTAATTGAATGGCTTATGTTTATGGAGTTTGAGTATTTGCCTGTGAACGTCTCTTCGTTCCTGAAGTTCCAAATCTTCCAGCAAGATGTGGCGAACCAGATTGGCCACTTGATTCCCTCCTGAGAACAAGATAGAGATAAGTTAGAGGTAATCCATGTTTTTCAATTTTGTTGTGTCCAGAAAATGGTGTTGGTGTCTCCCTTAATTGTATTACAGATTTGCATGGTTTTAGGGCAATCCCTAAACAAGTGAAACAGAGTTTCCTCTTTTCCACAGAATTCACACGCATCGTCATCTGCAATGTGTCGTCGTTTCCTCTCTGCATTCGTTAGCAGTGCTTCCCGTACTAATTTTCATAGGAATAATTTGATTTTTTCTGGGCCTTTCCTGAGCCAGACTTTCTTTTTGTAACATCTTTTTGATGGAACAGATTTGGGCCGCATGTGCTATATGAGTTGGGCTTGTATGATCAGTAATCACTATTATTCTTTCGTTTTGCAACACCTATTATTGGTCCTCTAAATATACTTATTAGCTTCTAATACTCCCTCTGGTCCTTATTATAAGGCATTTTGATTTTGTCCTAAGTTTTATCTAATGTGTCTTTTTAATTTAAATAAAAATCTTAAAAAATATTTCATAATAATTAAAAAAACACAGCGAATGTGAAAGTATATTTTTAAGATTTTTTTTTTCCAATTAAAAAGACATCCTAGGTTAACCTATGATGAAATCAAAATACTTATAATAAGAACAGGAGGGAGTATTTATCATACTATATTATAATTGTTGAATAAGTTTTGAAGTTTGATAGTCCTTCCCACTTATTTATTTTTGGTTAATTGTTTTTGCATGCAATTTATAAATTTTGTAGTCTCTCATTGAATTTTATCAAAAGCATTTTGTAATAAATATTTTCTCCTATTTATTTCATTATTATTTTACTTATTACCCATTATATTATATTTATTATAAAAAATTACTTCCTTATATCTAAATTTATAATAATAAATTATCCTTAATTATCAAACAATATAATGACCCTTTAATCTCCCTTCCATTAATTTTTATTTTTAAGATTACAAAAAATTGTTTCTCATTATTAGGTGAATTTGATCAGTCTAAAAATGGTTATGATGATTCTAACCATTAATTTCAAAAATAATTTCTCATTATTGTGTGAAATTGATTGGCCTAAAAGCGATTTTCGATTATTCTAACCTCTTTGAATTCTTTAAGTCTTTTCTTCTTCTCTTTTTCTCTTTGAATTTAATAGGTTCTTCAATGGTAGTTTTAATTATTTCACAACTCAAAAGAATATTAGAAGTCATGTAGCATAAAGTTACATATATATAATTTGAAAGGGTGTAATATTCAATCACTTGTCTCTTTCTCTTTTTTTTTTTTTCCCTTTCGAATCTTTATTTTTACCTCAATCTCAAATCTATCGGAGGTTATCATCTTTCATTACTCGTCTCCATCTTCTTTTTCTTGAATTTTTCCTTCTCAAATTTAATTTTTTTTTCCTTTTTTTTATAAATTATTCTTTTTTTTTCTGGTAATACATAAACTCGATTTATTTTATTTCTCACCGGCTTGTCCTTTTTTTTTTTCCACAATCAGCTACTATATGTTACTTCAGTTGAAATAAGAAGTGACACGTTTTAGTGATATCATTTTGTTCTTACAATATAAAAGTATAATTTTTTTACTACTGATAAATTTGTTAACATATTTTGTAGATAGTGTATTAGACAGCAATGTAATTTACTATTTTAATCATAAAAATTATTTTTTTTACATATAATGTACATTACATAACTTAATTTTACATAACGTACGCACGAAGCGCATCTAATCCATCTAGTTTTCTTAATAGTGGAATATCGTCCCCTTATTACAAAACCGTACAGCTCTTAGCGATCAACAAAGTTTGGACTGAATCCCATTCGTTCAAAGTCACATTTACATTTAGCGAATTGGGCTATCCTATAGGCGAAATCGTTACTATTCACACGATTTGATATCCTTAATGGCATGAAAAATTTCTTTTCAAATTATTGAGCGAAATGTCCACTTGAAAATTCTTTCGTTTCTTTCTTTTTTTTTTTTTCCTTCTTTCTATCTTTTTTTTTTTTTTGAAAAAATTCCTTCTTTCTATCTTTGCCTTAGGGAAAGGCTATTGCTTGGGGGTACATTCTAGTTGAAATGATATTCTCACTAAAAAGGGGAAATGATAGAAAATGAATCGTGGTCTTGTACTCTAATTTTGTGAGTTTTAATACTCAGGAAAACTTCAAAATGAAAAATAGTATCAACTGTTGCAGTTGACATTCAACAACATATATCTTGATTAGTTTCTTATTCCGAATAACGAAAGGTTAATATGTTACTCCCTCCGGTTCTTAATATAAGACATTTTGATTTGTCCTAAATTTCACCTAATATGCATTTTTCATTGACAAAAGACCTTTAAAAATATATTTTTACATTCGTCGTGTTGTCTTGATTGTTATGAAATATTTTTAAGATTTTTTTGTCAATAAAAAAGGCATATTAAGTGAAACTTAGAAAAAATCAAAATGCCTTATAATAAGGACCGGAAAGAGTACACTACTTGCCATTAATATGCTACTCATCCGTCAGTCCACATACTGTTCCTTAAATTGTAAAAAAAAAAAAGTAAAATTCACAATTTATAATGGAGAAAGTATAATTTTTTAGTTATAAAAAAAACGTACGTGCTTAAGTTTTTTTATCATTGCTATAAAATATTCTCTCCGATATTGTACTACAATAAAAAACTAGACTTGACTATTATTTTGGAACAATGAAAACTTAAAAAAAAAAAAAAACAAAGTTACAAACGTATTACATCCAACCCTCCTTTTTCTTTCCCGCTTGGTGTTCCGATGAATAGGATTCTCGAAAGCCAATTGTCATCTAGTTAAGGAATTTGTCACATTCTAATATTGGGAGGAAAATGAACCAAAAGAGTATCTAGATTCTTCCATACAATGCGCAACAACAACCAATTTCTTTTTTATTTTATTTTTTTTAAAGAAGATTCTCCAAAGTCCAACCTCAAATTTTACCAGATAACGAAACGTCATTCTTCAGTCCTCATTTTAATATGCATAAATTGAAATCTGGCTAAGATTATGAGAATCTCATCTTGTAAATCCGACCAAGAAAAAAAAAAGAGAGAAGAAAAGAAACGAGATCTCTATCTAAGATCTGAGTTATCATTAATTCTCACTTTCCTCTTATTATTAATTAATTATTTACAATAGTCCCTATTACTTGCATAACAATCCTGATCATTTTGGTTAGTTTAATAGAAAGAAAAAAAATAACAGAAAGAAAAAGAAAACCTACATCGTTACACGAGCACTGAAGTTATGAAAAAAGAATTACTTAAAAATTTATGATATGTAAACACAGTATGTAATGTTCCAAAGATAAATTGGTCTGAATATCTTGATTTTGGTTGTGGGTTGCGGACACTAAGGACTACAAGAGCATTCCAGAAGTTACGAAAGCAAACCTCCCACGAAGCGCAGAAAGATATGTCGCATGCATTGCCGTCCAAATTCGATCAATTATTATGCCATGGGAATTTAGTCTTTCGTACAATAATTAAGGACACTAGTCGTCTAGATTAATCTGGGTCAAATAGTGAAGAGTTAGTCCTATGTATTGAACAGGTTTCGAATTGAATTATATACGTACAGAAATAAATCGAGTAATTTTTCCATGTGGTTATGATATAAAATATTGTACACGGATTCATACCTTAGTAATAAAATTTACATTGAAGTGTGATATGTGTTCATTTAAAATACCTAATAATAATATAATTGGACGTACTAGAGAAGAAAGAGCCATAAGGGGATATTTTGTATGCATGCATGCCTTTGAATCATCATTTTAGTGTGACAAAGTTAGCTTTTTTAGTGGTTGAATTTTTCAGCGTATCTCACTCATAAAAGAAGAAAGGTCTGTTTTACAATTTTCTTCCGTCTCCTCAACAGAGCGAATTGATTGGTTCTCCAATGTGTGTTTTCTCATGGACAATAATTTCCGGAGTGCCAAAACAGCAGCAGCATTGAAGGAGTGGCCAACACTTGTCCACCCCGCAACTCAACAACAAAAAGAAAATGCAACTTAAGACAAAAGAAAACTTCAGCCGACACCATTCTAATCAACCTTGACTTACTTCTGGTGATGATGATCAGTTTTGCGGCATTTGCCTAAAAGAAAGAAGGGGCTACTAATTCAGATTTAAACTTTACGAGTTCTTTTTAATTTCGAATATATAGAAAGATAAAATTTCAGCTAACATATAGTTTTTTTTTCTTCGTATATATGATACTCAATAAATTATATTCCCTTCATCTCATAAATTATTGTCCTAAAAGTGAAAACTCAAACAGGACAATAATTATGGGACGGAGGGAGTATAAATTTTTGTCAAATTTAAACCGTTCAAAGAATTTCGTCAGAACTTTTTCCCATGATACTCCTCAAATCAATACTGAATATGTGCACAAAACTCCATCAACTCATGAATATATATACACTAAAAGAAAAAATGAACCGGTGTGTAATTCTTCATAAATAGAACTTTAGAACAATGATTTTAAGGAACGCCTTGTCCCTTAATTTATTGAAGGAGTTTGGTGATTGATATTTTGGGAAGGGACAAAGGAGAATGTCTTTTTTGTTGAATAGGACTGCTAATATAAGATTTTTTGTAGTGGGGTCTTGAATTGATCCTATCCACCAAGGAAAGGGGATTAAACTTACCAAAAAAAAACTTGTAAATTGATAAATAAAAGAAGCGAATAAAAAAAAAAAAAAAGAAGATAAAAATGATGAGGTTGAATGGGAATACTGGTGGACCAAGGAATTGTGCCGATCCTCACCGACCCTCGCAGACAACCGTTATGGTGTTTGACTTTGTTGATAATTTTAATGTACAAAAACAAAAAAGAAAGACCCCAGGGAGGGGAACTCACGTTACTCACCATTTCAATTCACCCCACCGAAAGTGGTACCATAATAATGTGTTACGGCCCTTGGAAAAAATTTATATATAAAAATTAAAAAAAAAAAGATGAGAAACTCCTTCAATAGCCTTTGAGAAAAATAATTCAATAAAATAAATTAGTTTAGTAGAAGGAACAAGAAAGCTAAACTAATTAAACGTTAATCTCGTGGGTTGTGTCACTTTGGCCTTTCGTCATTTTATGTCAATCCCATTTTGAAGTTATTAATTTGTGGGGTTATCTAGTCATGCACTGACCTATTTTCGGGTAATATTCCATTTCCATAAACATGGTAGAATAGCTATACAAAAAGATCGCATCAAGATATAACCTGAAACTGTGTTCCCACCCCCAAAGGATAGAGCTAGCCTAGCTCTATAATATGTTCCATGTTCATCACGTCTAGGTCA